AAATTTCAAAGTGTTTTTAAAAATATTAAATTAAGAAAGGCTGACTTCCATTAAAACAACAACAAACTAGATCTTAGAAAAATCCTTACACTACAAAACATCTAAAATTCCTGGATGTAAATCTAAATTTTTTTAAATCAATGGCTGAATTGGTAAGAAGTAAAAAAAAAAAAAAAAAATCCTCAGAGGCCAAAGCGGGAACAGGAAACAAAACAGATAAGGAAGCACTGACTCTGTCATGTGCTCACGGCATCTGCTGATTTTCCCCGTGACCTGGAATTTTGGTTTTAGTGGTAGAACAAAACAAAATGTGAAATTAATGGAGGGGAGAAGGGAGACAACAAAGAAGGCTAATCTGGGTGATGTCAGAGAAATTTACCCACGGTATTTGTCTTCATAAGCCAGCGCTCATATAATTCTGTAGTGAAAATGCAGGAAAACAAAGAAAAAAAATCTCCAAAATAAGTCAGAGGAATACAAAGAACAACAATTACAGAGACATGACAAGTAGATTGGAAACTGGCTGACTTCTCAGTAGCACACAATGGGAACCAGAAAAACGATGGCTTCAAAGTGCTGGGCAAAATAATTTCCAGCCTGGAATTATACACAAAGGGAGACTACATATCACAAAGGAGGGCAAAATGAAGACATTTTTAGACAAACAAATAGAATGAGTGTCACTATCAACAGACCCTTATGAAAGCCATTTGAAGAAGAAGGAACATTATTCCCAAACAAGGTATGTGATGCAAGGAGGAATGAGAAAAAGAGAGAGAACATGTGAATAAATCTGAATAAACACTGACCACGTAGAAGAGTAATACAGACAGTCCTCTGCTTATGATGGTTCGACTTAATGATTTTTCAATTTTACAGTGGTCGCATATGCAATATTCATTTGGTAGAAACTGTGATTAGAATTTTGAACTTTGATCTTTTCTCAGGCTGGGGGTATGAGGTATGATACTCTCTTGTGAGGATGGCGAACTCCCAGTCAGCCATGGGTCACACACATAAACGACTAAAACTTGGCAGTGGGTTCATTGTGTTAGATGATTGTGCCCCGTTGTAGGCTCATGTGAGTGATATGAGCACACTGAAGACAGGCTGGGCTAAGCTGTGGTGTTCTGTAGGTTAGATGTATTAAATATATTTTTTCACATGATATTTTCAGTTTACGGTGAGTTTATTGGGTCATAACCCCATGGTAATTCAAAGAGCATCTGTACTTAGTTTTTATATCTTGATGTGTTTTCAAAAAGATGTCTAAAATACTAGATAACAATAGCGTATAAGTCAGTAGAAGAATGTTCAAAACTAAAGATTTTTGTCCTGCTCTGGAGGAGGGTAAAAATTATTGATTAGACCCTGGTAGGGTGGTGTACCAAGCAGAGAGTATGTTAGCAGTCCATCTGGCAGACAGGCAGGTTTTATCACCACCATTGCTTTGAATTGTTGGGTCATGGCAGTAATAAAATGCAGACATTTTATTCGTGTTTTTAAATCTTCTACAGTTAATTCTCCCTCTTAATGCCGGTACCCTAGGCAGACAACCCCCACCACCATCACCCTTGTACACCACTGATTTGTTCAAGAGCTAACATTTCAAGTGCAACTACTAAAAAATTAGAACTAGATTATACAATTTCTATACAGAAAAGAAGAATAAAACATATTATATGAAAAACAATAACTAAAGAATTTAAGAAAGAAGAGGAGAAAATTTAGGAATATGAAAAATAGGGAAAATATGATGGTAAAAAATAAATACAAACCTGTCAATTATCACTAATACAATAAGTGAACTTCTAGATTGTAACTATCAATTTCCAAGAAATAGAGGAGACAGACGAACTCATTAAATGATCTTCACGGATATCACCAAAGTCAGAATCTGGGAAACTCTATAGTTTTTTCAACAAATAAAATTTGAGGGGGAAAGAGAGAGGTAGATAGTGTCTAGGAGATTTATCAATTGCAATGTGCGGATTTTATTTGAATTCTGATTCATACCAAGAAACTAAAAGTATGAGACAATTAAAAGAAATATGAATGCTGACTAGATGATATTAGAAAATTATTAACTTTTTAGGCATGATAATAGTTTGTGGTTATGCTTTTATGAGTATTTTTAAAGATACAAAATGTATCTATGAGAGGAAGGGGTAAGTGGTTGGGTCATTGATGAAACAGATTGACTATGAGTTGGTAATTGATGAAACCAAAAGATAGATACATGGGCATTTGTATACTATTCTGTTCACTTTTATGAATGTTTATAATTTTTCAAAAATAAAAATTAAGCAATTAAAAACTAACCTACCCAATAAAAATTTTAAATAATAAAAAATATTGTCTGGTGGGATTTTAAAAGGGTCACAACTATATTCTATTTATAGGAAACGCATCTAAAATATAAAGACATCCAAAGTTGGGGGAGGGAAGAGAGAAAATTCACACCATGCAAACAAAAATTTTAAAAAGTTAATATGGTTAAATTTTTTAAAAGATAAAATATAATTAAGACCTGTCAATCTGGATATATAAATAGGTTCATTAAAAATGATTAAAATTTCAATTTATTTATTAACAATATATATGAATTCTAAATTTCTATACATCTATTAATATTTTAATATTTTGCATAGAACCACTGTGCAATTTTTTCAAAATATATTGAATTCTAGAAAGAAAACTTCCATTTTCATATACTAAATGTAAATGTAAATGAAATGCAAGAAGAAAGTGTATATATATAATGGAGAGTTTCAGAACTATAGAAAGTTAAAATGTGTTGATTTCTTACTATCTCGGTACTCTTTACAAGGCTTATATGTAATAACTTACTTAATATTCACAACAAACATGTGAGTAGGTATCGCTATTATTCTAATTTTACAAATAAGACAGCAGTGACTGGCTTACGATCTCTCAGCTAGTAGTAAAGCATCATTATACATCTTTAGTATCAAATATTCATTTTGTGTGATTTACTGATTTCTTTTTCTTTTTTTTCCTTCAGTTTTTAGTTTATGGAAGTTACTTTTCTGTCATTGCTGAAATTTTCCTAATGAGAAGCATTTACATAATCTATTCAGCCCGATGCAGAAAGAAAAAACGTAGTTTTTCTGGTGATAATCTAAGTGAGTTGGAGGACTCAATTCCTGATCCAAGCTTGGTTCACAATATTAGCCTGATTTCTCTAACCACAGACTCAGAAGATGGACAACCTTAAAAATATATAGTGCTAAACTACATGGTGTTCTACATTGTTCTAGATTAAAATATCATGAAAGACTACACCTCATCATAATCCTCATCAACACTACATCAAAACCTCAGTCATTGGCTAGTAAACTAGATACAACTGAAAAATGGAGCTGATCAAATTGAAACATACTACCAACATGGCCTCAGTGAGCAGCTGGGATACCAAACACTGTTTCGTTATTTTCAAGTCCATCCCCAAGACAACAGGAAAATCAGACAAGAGATACCATCCAAGAGCAGAAACATAAAATGTTATCTAGAGTGAAGATATATATTAGTCTTTTGTGACCTACCTCTTAAAGAGATTTATTTTCAGTTGGATAATAAAGAAATGTATAGTGTAAGCATGATACAAATTAAGTCATTTATATATGATAATCATTTTATTATTATACTAATAGCGTATACCACCAATAAAAAGTTAGAATAGGGAGAAGTATGTAATTTCCACAAACCAGTACAAAAAAAAAATCAAAGAAAAATTTTTAATTAAACTTTACCATGATCTTGCATGAAAAGACTGAACATTCTAATGATTTCAATTTTTTTCTCAAACTAATTTTAAGTTCATTGCAATTTGTGATGGTCAGTTTTATGTATCGACTTGACTAGACTACATTCCTCATTGATTTAATCAAGTAGTAATCTAGGGGTTGCTCAGAAGTGTTTTTCAGATGTTATTAAAGGCCATAATCAGTTGACTTTATATAAAAATTATCCTAGATAACTGCAGGTTCCCAGAAGGAGAAATTCCATCTGTGGAGAGGAGCTTCATCTCATGCCTGAGAAGTCTAGCCTGTCCGTCCTGATGGCCTGCCCTATAAATTTTGAACTCGGCCTCACCAGCCCCCACAATCAAGTAAACCATTCCTTGAGAGAAATCTCTTAATATAAGCTCCTACAGGTTCTGTTTCTCAGGATGAGCCCTGACTTATACAGGTTTTGGTATTGGACATGGTTGTAGAGGACAAAATCTTAAGGATGAATTTTCTGAACTGCCTCTGTGTTTTCTGGAACCGGTTACCTAATCGGGCTAGGTTTAAAGCCACTAATAAATCTATTTCCAGTCATAAAGAGGCCACTAGTAGTCACGGTATGATATGGCTATAGATAGACACACAGAGTATCACCATTAAATATTCCCAATCAAATATTATATTGGTTTCCTAGGGCTCTTGTAACAAATTACCACAAACTGGGTGGCTGAAAACAAGAGAAACTTATTCTCTCACATTCTGGAGGCTAGAAGTCTGAAATCACAGTGTTGGCAGGGCAAAACTCAAAACTCCCTCTAGGGCAGGGCCCCTCCTTCCGTGGGTGATTCTTAGTAGTCCTCGGCTTATAGACACATCACTCTAATCTTATCCTCCAATGTCACTTGGTGTTCTCTCTGTGTGTCTGTGTCTCCACATCCAAATTATCCTCTTCTTATAAGGAAACCAATCCATACTGGATTTAAGGCCCACCCTAATCCAATATGACCTCATGTTAACTTGATTATATCTACAAAGTCCTCATTTCCATTAAGGTCATATTCACAGGTTCCAAGAAAATTTAGAGGAGGGGACGATATTCAATTCAGTATAAATATCTATAGAAGGTGTGGTTTCTGGGTTGGTATGTGTTTGTCACCTCAGGAATTTTTAGTTAAACTAAGGTGTATAGTAGAATTGGCTGGTTGCTCCTAACAGCACTGAAGAAAAGAGAGGATGAAAGGATGAGCTCAGGGCTTCAAATTCCAGTCAAATGCTGCAGCGATGACCTGAAAGCTTCAATATCTCCCCTGAAATAAACTTTCATCTCCTACACCTGCACAGTTGAGATTTCTAATAACCAAACCAAGTCTCATTCTTTGATTGAATTACAATGCAAATTGAACTCCTAACCTTGCAGAATGTCCTCTGAGAAAGTGAGGGGCATTCGTTGGGGGGGAAAAAATGGAATCCTGAACATGAGAATGGAGACATATAGAATGGAGACAAATCTCAGTAAAGATGGAGACATCTAAGCCCTCTACCTGCCAAGTCTTCTTTGCTGGTAGAAGCAGCCCTTCCACCCCTGCCCAAGGAGTTACCCAGTAGTGGTCTCCCTTGAGGTAGTGCCTGGCAAGACAATGCTGAGTCTCCCCAGAATCCACCCTAGCACCCTTCTTTGTTTCTAGAACTATAACTAGACTCAAGTCTCAGCAAGCCCCAAAAGGTGAGATCATTACATTCCAAAAGAGCTGTATGATTCTTCCATTGTTTATGGGCAGAAATCTGGAGAATATGTGTGGGAATGGATCTGAAGGGTACGGGGTCATGATAGAAAGAACCTATTTAAAGCTCGATTAGGCAGAATGTGCTGATGTGGGCTGACTAAATAAGGATTCTGGACTCAATGGTTTACCATCAGGGGTTAGAAAGAGCTCTAACCATTTGTCTGGTTAGCTGACACATGGATCCACAGGTGGCCTACACTAAATAAGTTGAAATGCCAGAACCACCTTGGTATGTAACTGAGGAAGGTATTCATAGGTTTAGGAAATTGTAATGCCAGAGTGGATTAATCATGTAAGATTTGCTCACTCACCTTGGGAGGGTCCAGAGGACACACGTTTTACTGTGACTCTGAGAAATCCATGTGTGAGAGGAGCCCAGCACTCTCGAAGGACTCTGTGGTTGTTTTTCTCTCTAGGTCAGAAATTACAGCGGGACTGCTACCATTGAACATGGAATACTAAAATGCAACGGCGATGATGCAATCCTGGGGTGGCAGGGGCCAAGTAGTGGCACTTAATTGCCAAAGACAAGGTGGTTATGGTAACCATAATGGACAGTGGAGTCAAAGCAGTAGACTAGTCTAACTCACTGAACCCGAGGCTGTTGGCTAGTTGGTGTTTTTAGTAAAAAAAATCAGATGAGCGATCTATGAAATTCTTACTCGATCTGTGTAAGTGGAAGTGTTCTAGTTCATTTTAAGCAGCTCAAGACTCACTAACAGCCATAATGGAAAATTCTGATATCACCGATTCACGATAATTTGGAGTCCAATGTTTCTAATAAGTTAAAGCTGCCTGGAATTTAATCCACTCGAGGGGATCTGGAATTTAAGTCCAAGATGAACGAGTTTGGAGTAGTGGAAAGAAATGCTTTGGCATAGGAGGCAGCCCTGTTGGGAAAGTTTTCAGAACTTTTTTTCTCAGATTAGATAGCATGTTGAGACACACGACTTCAGTTTCCACTTGGGGTCTCTGTCTTTCTCTGCTGTGTGCTGAGCAAACACTTTGTAGCTGTTTTGCGGTTCACCCGTTGTCTCTTTGATGGTGCTCACATTTATTTTGTTGCTTGAGTTTTTATTTCAATTAGTGTGTTTTATTCCCCAAATTCCAAATTGGTTGTTTTGATATCAATCTATTCTAATTTCGTTTCTACCTGTATTTGCCCTATACATTTCTGTTTGTTTGTTTTTTAATGGAAATTATTCCTTTATCACTTTGAGAATCCAAAAAAATAATAATAATTTAAATGGCATTTTCACTTCTATAAAGTTAGTTTCATCTGAAGCGAATTCATTTTCCAAGTTTTATTTGGCTGTCCTTTCTTAACGTTAGATATGTTCAGATCTGTGTTAATTATTTATTATGGCATAAAAAAAAATCACTCCAACACATCATGGCTTCCAACAGCACACGTTTATTATCTCACAGTTTCTGAGTCAGGAACCTGGGCATAGCTTAACTGGGTCCTTTGCTTCGGGGTCTTTTACGGGCTGCAGTCGAGGTGTTGACTGGGCTGTGGTCATCTCAAAGCTTGACTGAGGCAGGATTCATTTTCAAGCTCATGTGATTGTTGGCAGGATGGCAGGATTCAGTTCCTCATGGCTATTGAGCTGAGGGCTTCTATTTCTTGCTGGCTGTTGACAGGAGACCAAGGAGACCACTCTCATTTCCTTGCCATATGGGCTTCTCCACCATGGAGATGCGTCCTCAAAGCGTGCAAGTCAAGACATCAGGAGTCAGTTTGAAGATGGAAGTTAACAGACTTTCGAAACCTGACGAAGAACGTGACATCTGATCACTTTTGTGATCTTCTATTCATTGGTCACGAGATCCAGCGCATACTCAAGAGAGGGTGGTTACACGGGGTGTGAACACCGAGAGGCAGGGGGCACGGGGAGCCATCTTCGAGGCTGACAGAGTTTCCTAGCTAAAGATTTACTTTAAGAGCAAGGTGTTTGGTATTTCGTTTTCATTTCTCCCACTCTCTCTTCTCACCCCAACCCCCAACCCCCTTTGCTTCTTTCTGTCTAGAAGATTTGCAGTTATATTTTCCTGCTCCACCTCGGAGTTCTTCCTAAAAGTAGTAATAAGATATCACAGATTATTCTCAAGCCTGCAGATGATTTCAGTCAATTTGTGTTCTCCAGGCCATCTCTGTGTCTATATCCTCCGGTCTCTGTGGCAGACAGCAATTTGTAAGCCATATCCCTGGGCAGCAAAGAGCAGTAGATTTTTTAAAAACCGAACGGGCCCTATCTTGGCACCTAACCTCAAATGTAAGCCTTGCTCCGGTGCCCCGACTCATGTAATGCTTTATCTCTGTTATCGTATTTCCACTCTACAGCTTACCTTTGGGCCCAGAAGCCACCGAGGCCATGGCTCAGCCTTGCATTCTCCATTTCCATTCTGTGTCTGGTCCACAGAGACATTTAACTTGTCTTCGAGCCTAGCCATGTTGTTAATAGGTTTCATTTTTATCTTACCCACCACAGCTCTCCCCACCCCTTTTTCGAACAGAGAGGCTGTGTCACTGTATGAAAATATCAAGCCACTGTCATCCAAAAGTGCCTCGGCCTATGGCACCTACCGCGAATAGCAGCATCTCAACAGTGGAGAAAAGCGCTAGAGAATAATCAGAAAAAGAAAAAACAGAAAGGAAAAGGAGGGAGGAGGAGAGGAAGGAAAATAAGGGAATTGAAAAGGGA